CCCCCCCTTCTTTTTACTCTTGTGGCAAATGTGTTGAGAAGGCTTATCTCACGAGTAGAAAGGATGCAATTGTTCAAGGGGTGGAGTCTAGGAAGTGATAGACTTGTATTATTCCACTTGAATTTGTAGACGCCATCATTATCTTTTGTGATGGGGAGAGTAGACAATGGTTTGAGAGTTTAAAATTAGTGGTGAGGTTGTTTGAGGAACTTTCCAATTCGAAGGTCAATTGGGGGAAGAGCATGGTGGCAGGTCTAAACATAAGGGAGGATGAGTTAAGGTTGTGGGTTGTAGCTGTAGGGTGTGTATGTAGTGAGTGGCCAATGAAGTATTTAGGTTTCTCCTTAGGAGCCAACCCTAAAGTCCATAAATTTTGGAATCCAGTGGTGGAGAAAGTAGAGAAAAGGTTGGCAGTTTGGAAAGAAAATCTCTCTTGGGGAAAGGCTAACTTTGATTAAATCCATCTTAGCCAATCTTCCTATGTATTGCCTCTCTATGTTTGGGATGCCACAAGTGATTGCTAGAAGAGTTGAGAAGTTGATTAGTCATTTCCTTTGGGAACTTGAGCAGGGAAAGAATGACCATTTGGTTAGATGGGAGTTAGTAAGTAGAAGCAAAGTGGATAGGCAATATTAGTAAGAAGAATTTATCTCTACTTGGAAAATGGTTGTGGAGGTTTCTGGTTGGGGAGTCCTCATTGAAAGTTGTTTTTCCTTCTCTTTATACTCTCTTTGACCTTAAAAATAAACTCATTTCTGAATTTGTTCTACCTTCTTTTTCCCTTGGTTTTTATTAGAATATGGGTTTAGGAGAAATCTAGAAATCTAAGGCTATGTATAGGTTTCCATACCTCTTCCTTTCTTTCCCTACTTTTTTTCTTTCAAACCAAATACAGTCTAAGAGAGTCTAGAAGTATTCCTGCTTCTAGCCTCTTGAGTTTGTTGGAGGGGGTGGTTCTTGATAATTCAGATTAACTATTTCTGAATTTGTTCTCCCTTCTTCTTTGCCCCTTGGTTTTGATTAGGATATGGGTTTAGGAGAAATCTAAGAGAGTCTAGAATTATTCCTGCTTCTAGCCTCTTGAGTTTGTTGGAGGGTGTGGTTCTTGATAATTCAGCTCATGATAAACATCTAGGGGTTCCTAAGTCTACCAGAAGCTTTTATTGTGGTTCCTTCTTTAATATCTTGTATAGGGTCACTTCCCCTCTTTGAGCCCTTTCTTGTGAAGGAAGTCTGATGTGTTCCTATTCCTCCTAAAGTCAGTGCTTTCTGTTGGGAGTTTTCTATGGAAGCATTGGTACTTGTGATATGTTGTGAAAAAGAAGACCCAATTGGCCTTTGTGTCCTAACTGGTGAATGGTGAGATTGCATACTACCAAGTTCTTGTCTATCGACTTGTTGTATTTGGAATTGATTTCTTGCTTTCTTTGGTTGTAGTTGGGATACTCTTGTTAGCTTGGATAGGTTGTTTGGCGCTTTAGTGGCTAGATATCCAAAGAAAAGAGGTAAAGTGGAAATGCACAAGAGCTGTAGTGGTATGGACGTTGTGGTAGGAAGGGAATGCAAGAATGTTTGAGGAAAAAGAAAGGAGTAAGGTGGATGCCTTAATTGAAACCATTACTCTTAAGAGTTTCATGTTGTGTGAGGACCTTGGAATCGTTTTCTGATTTCACACTTAATGAGATACTTAGAAATTGGGGGACAGTTGCATTATCTTCTTCCAAAAAGTCAAAATTTACAAAAGAGTGGACACCTCCGAGTAGAGGGTAGTAGAAGTTGAACTTTGACAGCAGTAGTATGGCTAATCCTGGGCCATTTAGCATATGGGGTGTAATAAGGGGTGAGGATGGGAGTATCCTAGTAGTGTACTTAGGTCTCATAGGAGGAGATTCAGTAAGGGCAGGGATGATGGTGGCAAGCTTTAGGGTACAGAAAATCAAGGAGCTAGGAGTTGAAAGGTTGATTGTTGAAGGTGTCTCCAAGGTGGTTATCAATTGGCTATTGGAGGAGGCAAGAGCTGCATGGTGCTTCAGGTATGAAATCAGAGAGTTTAAATGGTTCATAAAGGATTACCGATTAAAATTCAATGGGTACAAAGATCAGCTAATAGCTTGGCTGATGGCTTGGCAAAGCAGGGAATTAATAGGTAGCAACTCTTTTGGGCTTTGATGTAAAATGTATGGATGGGTGGGATAGCTGAGGCTATAACCATATTTCCTTGATTGTAACCACAACCTCTTGTACTTTTTCAATTAATGAATGTAATCTTCATTTTTGTTGCTGATAAAAAAGGGAAAAGCAGGGGTGCTGTTTAATCTTGTAACTAGTTTATCTGGGGGGGGGGGGGTTGTACTCCTTGTAAGGGATGCTTTGACACTTTTTCCTTGTACATTTTATCTTATTCTTTCCTGATTTTAACAAAATTTTCTCGTTATCCATAAATAAAAATCATTAACTGTCAAGACTATTCACAATCGAGAACAATATGGGACGGATGATGATGATATTAAGAAATTGACCAATCTAAAACCCAAATACCCAATAAAAATCCCTTTTCTATCAATAATACTTCAATGTGCTTCCTCTAAATAAAATTATAATGACCAAAATAGACTGAAAGTGTCAAGTTCAAAGTTGTACTTTGATTAAAATTAGGCTCTTATTAAAAGATCAAAATAAAATTATAATCTCTCTTTATGCTTTAACATCTAAAATTAAAATAAAAAGAACAAGTATGAATATTGATATTTGTAATTAGAAGGAATTTTGAAAATCTTACAAAGATTGACATTCAAGTGTAGAGTTAAAAGAACAAGTACTGAATATTGATATTTGTAATTAGATGGAATTTTGAAAATCTTACAAAGATTGACATTCAAGTGTAGAGTTAAAAGAACAAGTACTGAATATTGATATTTGTAATTAGATGGAATTTTGAAAATCTTACAAAGATTGACATTCAAGTGTAGAGTTAAAAGAACAAGTACTGAATATTGATATTTGTAATTAGATGGAATTTTGAAAATCTTACAAAGATTGACATTCAAGTGTAGAGTTGTACTTTGATTAAACTTAGGAAGTATTATGAAAAGATCAAAATTTCCCTTTAATACAGAAATAAGAAAAAATATGTTTAAGGCCAATGTTTTGAAAATTATAATTGTATTGAAAATTGTAAGTTGAATCGAATTGAATGTGAATTGTATCATAAATCGTAAGCTTATTTCTATTTTTTACAAGCTTGCCAAAATATTAAATATAAATATATTAAAAGGCTAAATATATACAGGGAAGTGATTTTAAACTATTTAATTCATATATACCATATATGTACCTAAAACTATAAGATTTATGACTTATACAAATAACAGTCTAAGATGATTTAGTCAAACTTGACCTGAAAGTCAAATAAATCCATCTACAATGGTTCTTCAACCTACATATAATGCAAAGTGAACTCAATATCTAATCTTGGATCATGTAAATAAACCATTTTCTAGTATGGGATTTAAAACAAGTCTCCCTTGACAAAATTAAATATAAACAAAAAAACGTCAAATTAAAAATCTAATTCTTAATTGACTTTATTTGAATCACAGTGAATTGTAGGAATTGTAAGGTTTATGTATCAAATCATAGGATTCAACCAAAAATCATAAGATTTTTGCAGAAAATGATTTGGATATATGATTCGAATGAAAACACTTGGGATGATTCAAATTGTGAATCATATCATAAATTGTAAGATTTGAACATTGTTTTGAGGATTGATTTAGCTATTCTCTTTTAAAACTTAAATAACAAAAACCATCATGATAAAACATAAAAGAAATTTGTGTTTTTTAGTCCAAGAGAAATTTTTATAAAATAGTGAATTTGGGAAATAACTTGTTGATTGGTATTTAGTATGGCTTTATATGTTTTGTCCTGAGACCTATTATGGTAAGCATGACAGTTTTGGACATGATTTCTGTATATATATACATATCCTCATTTTGTGACTTGGTAAATTTAGGAGCTATTTCAGTATACTTTTATGGCTATGTCAAAGTTTAGTTGCATTTTCTTTTGCTAGATTTTGTACTGAATGGATTGGCATTCCAGGATTAGATGGCTATTTGCGCTTCTGGGATGTTAAGACTCGCCAACTTCTCTCTGCGGTTTGTTTTGAAACTTGACACTTTTGGATGGTTGACTCTTTATTGCAAAATTATATGTTTCTGTGGGCTAACAACCTTTTGTTTTTCCATAATTTTTATAATCTATTTTCCATGGCTTTCCTTCACATACAACCAAAACTAACCTATTATTGAAATACAAAAGGGTCATATATTTAGACACCTCCTATGGTTTCATGTATTTACTTAAACTACCCTCTAGTTTGCATATTAAGAAAAATCCTCCTATAGTTTATAATATATTTTTCATGGCTTTTCTCTGCATACAACCAACACTAACCTATTATTGAAATAAAAAAGGGTCTTTTACTTAGCCCTTTGGTTTCACGTATTTACTAAAACCTACCCTCTAGTTTACATATGACTAAAACACCCCTATAGTTTGCAAATACTTTATTTAATTGATTTTCTGTTAACCGTTTGTCTGTTTGGGGATGGTCACATGACCTCCTAAAACAAGTGGATAATGTGAAAGGGCATGGATCCAGGGTTTTTTATTCTTAAGATACCCCTAGTATTATTGATCAAAAAAGACACCCAAGTATTTCTCATATGAAAATTTTGGAAGCAAAACCCTCTCCCCACATTATAGCTTGGTCTGGAGGTGTGGAGTGTGTCTGGTAGGGGTATTTTTGGAATAAAAATCCCTGGACCTATGCCTATTAAGATTCCTGGATGGAAGTAGAAACAATTCCTGATGGAAGGTTGATTAAGTAAAGCAGTTGCAAACTAGAGGGGGTGTTTAGTAATACAAAAACTAGAGGATAGGCTTTAGCAAATATGTGAAACTATAGGGGAGTCCAAGTAAATGATCCAATAAAAACAATAGTAAGGTCTTGGTCAAAATCCATTGTATTTGGGGTTTATGCCAAAACATGATTCCTTTGTGTTGACATGAAATGGGGATTACTTATTTAGTTATTTTTTGAGAAAGGTAAAATTTGTAAATTGATATCAATCAGCAAAGGTACTTACCAAGAATTGTCTGTGTACAGTGGGAAGCTATACAAAGCGGTCAGCTGAACCCTGTAAAAGAAAATCAATATTATTTATCTTTCTCATCACAAGAAGTGTGTTATGTGAAATGTAGGAATGGTCCTCAACTTCCCTTAACTTCTTCTGAATTGATAGCCACAAGTGGATTATTGCTAGTACCTACCTAAGAACAACCTTTTTGGGGAGCAATGCATTAATAGATGAAGTTCCATCCACCCTTGTAAAAACGGTTCAGATTTAAGAAGATTATTGACAACTGAGGAGTAGAGAAAAGACAGCAAGAGAGAATGTAGTAAAGGCTTCACATCTTCTCCTATTTGGTAGACTCTATATTGATTCCCCACCTAAAGGCATGCAATATATATATATATATATATATAATATTAAACATAAACCCCTAATTAAGTTATAAAAGGGGACAAGCATGAGTATTTTTACTTGAGAAAATTCTGAAGTCTAAACTGTCAATGTTCTCACACACTTAAATGGTCATAAACTGTAATGCTCCCCCTCAAGGAGAGTATATATCATATTACTCTAGCTTGCTAAAGATGTTCATTATACTTAGAGTGTTTTGTTTTTTTTTTCCTGTTATTTAATTAAATGTAATTTGTTTACTGTGTCCTATCTTAAGTTGTGTCGCATTTTTAAACAGGGGCACAATAGTCTTTGTAAGCAACTTTATTAATCTATAAATATTGGCTGACTGGACTGGGAAGATTATTCTTTCCAATAGGCCATTCTTTCTTCCACTCTTTCTCTCTTATTTCTCCCTCTCTCCCTCTCTCTCTCTCTCTCTCTCTCTCTCTCTCTCTCTTTTCTTCTTATTGCTGCTATTCTCTCTATTGCATTAATTCTATTTCTCCTTGTTATTAAAGAGAAGGTAAGAAAAAAGAGAGGGGAGATTAAGAAGAGGAGAGAAATTTTGGATGGTCGAAAAATCTAGGTTGGAGGTGCCTAATTCTTTATTTATAATGAGGTGACAGCTAATAACAAGTCAAATTACAATAGTGCCCTTGTGACACAATCTACTAGAAAATACAAAACTCCCCCTCAAGTTGGGTCATACATGTCAATCATGCCCAACTTGTCACATTAGTTCATTGTGACACAAAGTATGAGGATATGAACAAGCTACTCCTTGGAACTGACAAAGTGTACACATTTCATATTTATCAAAAAAAAAGTGTACACACTTCACCCTTCTCAAGTTTCTTCTTTGAAGTGCTTGTTTCACTGTGTTTTATTCTGTCATGGAGAACAAGATTAGCTACAATATTTATAGTTGCCTTATTGTCACAATAGAGATATATAAGGCTGTATACACTAAAGCCTAGTTCTCCTAACAAGTTCTTCATCCAAAGTATTTAAACATCCATGTGCCATAGCGCTATATTCAACCTCAGCACTGGACCTTGCAACCACACTTTGCTTTTTGCTCCTCAAAGTCACCAAGTTTTCTCCCACAAAAGTACAATATCCACTAGTAGATCCTGCCTAGTCTTCATCAGTGTAAGCCTCGACTTATATGTGATCATGATTCCTAAACAACAGGCTAATTCGTGGGTATTTCTTTAGGTACTTGAGAACTCTCTCTATTGCTTCCAGGTGGGGAATCTTAGGAGAATACTTAATTGGTTGAGGACTCCAACAACATATGCAATGCCAAGGTGTGTCATGGACAAATACAACAATCTTCCTACTAGCTTTTGAAACTGCTTTGCATCTTTCAATGGTTGTCCATCACAATTTCCCAATCTATGGTTAACATCAATAGGAGTGTCAGCTTGCTTTGCTCCTATCGTACTTGTATCCTATAAGAAATCGAGGATGCTTTTCCCTTGAGAAGTGAAGATTCCTTTCTTTTTTTTCCTGAAGAGGTAAAATATTGTATTAGATTCAAAAGTATAAGGTCTTGTACAATGAGAATCTGTACAAGTGCGACCAGAACTAGGACTCCCCAAAAAAGTCCACCCTCAAAAAAGAACCAGAACTATAAACATTTCTACATACATTAGAAAGAGATAACCGACTCCTAAGCTCTTCTATTATAAAGTTAATAACCCCAGCCTCAGTCTTAGCCCACAACTAGACCTGTTCATGGGTCGGGCTGGGCTTTCACTCTGTATTAACAGATTTTTCTAAGGCCCGAGCCCGAGCCCGGCCCTCATAAAAAGCCCCCCAAAATTTAGCCCATGTTGGTACTACTGCTGAAGCGGCTGAATAGAGAGAGATAGAGAGTGAGAGAGAAATTATAAAGAAAAAAATAAAAAATGTATATATTAAATTATAAATATATATATTTCAATAAATATTATATTGTTTATATATTTTATATAATATATAAAATATATATTATGTATTTTATAAAATATATAATGCTGAGTCGGGCTCGGGTCGGGCTTTTTTGACAAATCCCGAGCCCGGCCCGTAACACAGTCGGGCTTACTGTGTTAGGCCCGAGGTCAGGCCCGCAGGCTTAATTACATGACCAAGCCCAACCGGGGTGCGGGATGGGCTGGGCCGGGTCATCGGGCTACCCGGCCCATGAACAGGTCTACCCACAACACTACAGATGGGATGACAAACCACAAAATGAAGATTCCCTTTTGTGAATGTGAAACCTCAATCCCAAGAAAATAATACTACAGTCCTAGATCTTTTGCTTCAAATTAAGCTTGACTTTGTTTGCAATAGGGGGTTTCAAACAACTTTGGTGTTTTGTTAATGAAAGAAGGAGATTTAAGTGGCTGACTCAGGGTATGGAACTAAGACTGTAGTGGGTGAAAATAAGTGCTAATTCCTTTGTAGATGGCTAGATGCACTTGCCAAACAAGGGGTGGGAAGGGTTCAATTGTTTTTGGGCTTTATTGTAATCTTGTACATTTTATGTGGGGAGGGTTAAGGGAGCTTACCTCTCCCCTTGCTCTCTTACAATTGTATCTTTTATCTTAATTTTTAGTAAATTGCTTTTTTTATTGATAAAAAAAGATCTTTTACAGTTTTACTTCAAATAGAGTATCCAAGAACTCTTTTAACTTTTGTATTTTAGAGTTCCAATTCCCTGTAATAATGATGTCATCTACATAAACTATTAGAACTGCAACTCTTCCTTGACTCCTTTTGACAAAAAGTGTATGCTCAGGTTGGCATTGTCTAAATCCCTTCTGTTGAATAGTTATATAAGATTTGCTAAACCAAGCTCTAGGTGATTGCTTCAAGCCATATCCATATAGAGACTTCTTCAACTTGTACACCTTGTGTTCACTTACCTTTGGCTTGAAAACCAGTTGGCTGAACCATGTACACCTCTTCCAAGTCACCATTTAGGAAAGCATTTATAATGTCCAATTGATGTAATTCCTAATCTAAATTAGTAGCTAGAGGCAGAAGGGCTTGAATGGAATTCATTTTTGTATTGGGGCAAAAGTCTCAGCATAATCAATACCATACACTTGGATAAACCCTTTTTGCACCCAAGCGTTATTCTTATGGAGGTGCTTTGTAGTGTATGAACCGATGCCCTTTCTTTTTACAATGGGAATGTTGAGGTCATCTATAGAATTGTCAACAGAAATGAGAACAGAAGTATCAATGGGAATGAGAGTACCTGGTTGAGATGGATTTACCTCTTGGGAGTTTGATGGTGTGGGTTGCATAGTTTTTTGCATCTCCACATCCTTTGAACCTTGCTGATCCCTACTGCTCTTACGTAGGAAGACATGAAAAGGAGCAGAATTCAGGATGGAAGGAAGTTGGACTTGTTGGACCTGTTTCCCCTCGATACTATTCACCCCCTGAGGAGAAATAGGGAAGAAAGACTCATTCTCAAAGAAGGATATGTCCATAGAAATAAAGTACATGAATTGGCTTACTACATTGACTATAAATGTAATATCAGGCCAAGTAATTGTTAGATATTTCAGTTTAACAAGCTGCCTTCTATACCTTCTGATTGAAGACATGCATTTATGCCTAGAAGGTAATAATTCCTCTCCTAAGTGCGCTAATGAAAACATTAAGAGGGGAAGGATTATTATGTAAGTTTTTTGATTAGTTGAAAGCCCGTAAAACATTAAACCTGATTGATTTTGGTCCTTAGGAGAGAGAAGGTGGTGACTTCTTACACCTGGTATGTGACTGTTCATATAGTCACACAGAACTGTGGGATACCACTGTACGATTATGTTGATCATTGTATGGAAAATCTTGTTGCTGTGCTGCACTAAGAAATCCTATTCGCATAGGACTTATTTAGATCTCATGAGTTTGATTCGTTGTTCGATATAATCCTTGGGTGATTGATTGGGACATCTTATGGGTCCCACAAAATCAATCAACCTCAAAAATTTATTCCCTTTGAAGTGTTAATGATGAGTTTTGGGTTTATTTTCATTTTGTCTAAAGGAGATGGATTCATTTTAGGAAAACCTTGTAATCCTTTTGTAGCTTGAAAATGAACTTGTAAACACTATAAATATAGAGGAAGGTTCTCCATGTTGTAGAGGATGAATCTAATTAGACATACATTAGGTGGAACTTTGACCTAATTGTTAGGAGGGGTAGAACATTGTAGGGAAGGCATTCTACAAGTTCTAGATGTTCTTCTAAAGCTTAGAATGTAGGGGAATGCTTGGAGACCTTATTGGATGTTGAGATACCATCAATAAAGGTATTTGGAAGATTGTTTGAGGTTCAATTGGGTGGAAATTAAAGGTAATCATTTGTAGCCCAATCTAGAAGCTCAACCTAGTCCAGTCTGGAAATTTCTAGGATTGGGCCTAGGTTTTACAGCCAGGCTTACACACACACACACACACATACAAATATTACAAGTCACTGTGTTTATTCAGCATATGTAGATTTGGCTTGATCCCAAAAATCTCCTTTTGCTGTTTAAGCCCACATGACATTCTTCTTCAGTTTGGGCTGCATTGAACATAGCAGCCAAGACATAATCATATGGTTTTCCTTTTCCCACTTTTCATAAGCAGGATCTTCATTTGAATTGATTATCTTTTGGGTTAGATACCCTTGTATTCCTCTTCCACCAATAAATTGCCTTACTACCTTGAGCCATTCCAATAATTCAGGCAATTTAAAAGGACAATAAAGATATGAGGATTATGCTGTCCATACTGTTACCAGGTAAAGATTGAATCACATGAAGTTGCCGAATCTTCAGTAACCATTGTCAACACCAAAAACAGACACTACAAAAAGCTCTTTTATGTAAAATAGTTGTACACACAACTAGGTCCATCAACAAGCAAGAATGAGAGAGGAAACCAGATAGCTGCTGTCACCCCAATAACAGGTCTCAGTCATGAGGCTCCCACCAATGTGGGGTCTGAGGAGGGACAGATGTATGCAGCATTATGCCTGCATATACAGAGAGGCTATTTCTAAGATTTGAACCCTGATCACCCAGGTCGCAATGTCACCCCAATAACAGGTACAAGAACAAATAGCAATGTTTCAAGACAAAAAATTCTTTACCCAGGATGTACTGCCCTTCTACGACCCAAACAAATCAAGTTCAGAGACTGTTATAGCCTCCACAGGTTATATGGCCATCCAATAATTCAAGAGTCACCTTCTCAGAACTAATATAGCCTCCACGGGATGAACCGAAACCTTACCAGCCCAAAAAATGTCAGAACTAGTCCTCATACAACCAGAATACTTCTGGTCTTGAATGAATCTCTTGATATCTGAGGCAGTAGACCAATCTTATCTTGTTCACTATGGTTTATTCAGGCAGGTACGGTAATCTGCTTCACTCTATATTACCTTTAAACTGAAGAGATACATCCAACCAGTGCAGCAGAAGTCCTTTTTTGAAACCCTTTTAGACTTCTATCTAGTATATTGTCCACCACAGAGAATATTTTATTGGTCTTACAACTCCAAAGAATAAGGAAGAAAGTAGCTCTCCTGTCCGGTCAGTCTAGCAAGGCTCCTGCTGATTCCTCTTATGATTTCAAATATGGAAAGAAGACCTAATCAGGATTGACCTATTGCCAGACAATGCTCTGATATCATGTGTGTCTTACCTGGAGTAAGAAGAAAGTGCAAAAAACAGTGTTTGGGAAGTGCTCACTTCATTAGTATATATAAGGTTTTAAAATATAACAGTTAAAGGACAATAACACCTTTGCCTCATATACAAAAGAAATACACCATTACAATAGACTGCAAATTGGAACCAAATCCAGTTGAATGAATAGTCAATGAGGTTAATGGAAATGCATATTGGTGAGATCTACAGAAATCCACGTTTGAGAAATCAATATGCATTTAAGTAGTGTCTCTTCTATAGTTTATAACTTGCTTCTCTTTTTAATGGCATCTGTTTCACTATTAATACTATTGGGTGCAGGTGTTCTTGAAGCAGCAGCTCACAAATGTTGTGATTGATTCAAATTTCATTGGAGAAGGTTAGTGACCATATTATGCTTCCATTATCACAAGGTTTTAATAGCCTTCAATATGTCTTATGGTACTTGAATCTTGTACAGGAGAGCTTACTAAAAAATCCTTAACACAGAAAAACTAATAGATTTGAATGGATAAAAATCATGATAGGCCAATACATAGATAAATTCATATCCCTTTTTACCCCTTTGTGTGTTGAATACCTAAGAATTCCTCCTAGGTTTTCAATATAAAATGGTGCAGCAAGGGTAGAAAAAACTAACACAATAGAAAAAGTGAAGTATAGAGGGAGGGAGGGAGGGAGAATACATCTGTTTATAGAGTGACTTGTCTTGTGCATCAAGAAACACAATTACTTTCCACCTACTAATGCAAATAAACTAAATTGGAAGATAAGCTCTACTAAATCCACTAAATTAGAAAAACAAGATACCATGGCCAGGCCCAAATGGGATTGAACAAAATGACGAAAATACCCTGTCCAAAAATATGGAAATACATAAAATTCCAGAAAATTCCAAATTTAATTCTTCAGCTCCTGCATCGTTTTCCCCTGATTAAAAAAAAAAACTCGCCCTTGAATTTTGAAGAACTTGAGGATGAAAAGTTGATGTATCTCAATGACAAAAGTAGGAGTTTCAATTAGCTACTTAAACACACTGCCTTGCATAACCTTTGTTAAATCACCAATAACATTAGCCTTTTGAGCACCAAAATCATTAATTAGCCTATCTTGTGGTGAATCTTCCCCTTGTTTATCACTACAAACTTTCATATCCAAAATATCAACTGCAGCATTTTGAACTTTTCCTTAAATCTCTGGTTTAGGAAATGCCATCTCTATGTTTTCAGCTATTCTTGATTCTTCAGCAAACTCTTGGATTTCTTCCATTATTATTGTTGGTGGAACTTGTGCTATGCCAGCTTGTAATTCTTGAGTTGGTTTTAGTTGAACTTGTAAAGTCATGACTTCCTTAGATCTACTACAACCAACATATTTGTGTCCTGTGCCTGAATTTCCTCAACTTGCTCCACCTCTATCTCTTCTTGATCTTTAACCTCAAGCTAATCATCCTCAATGCCCCTGTTACGAACTGAGACAACGAGAATCATCATTATCATCCATGTCTTATCCCAAAGCTTGAACCAAGATGAAGACAACACCAAATGAAAACACTGACTTAGGGTTCGTGAGAGAACTAACAGGCTCTAAACCTGCTCTTATACCATCTTAAGCAGTGGGTATAGGTTTTGTAAAATCTATATAAAGAAAGAGAATGAAGTGGAGAAGAAGAACTTAGAAGAGACAAGAAGAGAAAGAATTTCTTGAACAGGGTTGGATACCTTAGAGGTCAGTTCACCGTAACTTGTATAGTTTATCATCTAAAAGAATGTGCATTATAAAATTGCCCTTGTCATGTATTTCTGCAGTTTCTGACTATTCTGAAGTTTCCAAAATTGCCCTTGAAATATTGCCAACATATTGACAAAATATCGGAGATATTGGGGAAAAAAAAGATTTCTTAGATAATTTTGTTTTGCTCTAAGCAAAATAGGAATTTTTTTGTGAAAATTTCGTGCAATATTGCTGATATTGTGAACCATGATCTCTGCCATAACCACAGTCGTTCTCCACAACCACTGCTTCAATTGCAGGATGTAAATGTTGCCCTGATACCTTATAATGTAGCCTGTAATTCGTCTATATAGCAATAGAAGTAACAAATAACTAGAACCAATCAACCAATACTGAACAGCCACTTTGTCCAAAAATGCTGAAGGTTAGGCTTGTATTGCAGTCACCTGTCCCAAGACCCCTGATAGCTAGGACCAACATTAGGAGATGGTCTTTCAGCAGTAGAATAATTTTCAGATAACTTGAGGTAAGTGCGGAGCAAATTTATAAACCTAGGTTTGGTATTTGTTATTGTTGGAAACCGCAGGTAGGGTATTTTGTAGTTTATCCATTTTTTATTTCCTCAGCTACATCAGTATCTCTGTCTGTACTTAAAGTATGAATTAGTAGGTTGTTCAGCCCCATTTTTTTTGAAGTAGATCCAGTTCTATCTCTTTCATATCTAGTCCTAAGTGCTTTTCTTTGCTTAGCAGAAGTTTCAGGCATTGTAGTAGATCCACTGTCAAATGTTGAACAGGAGACAAATCAGACCCAGGTCAATGAGGATGGACCACCGCCTGTGAAAAGAAAAAAAGCATCTAAAGAAAGTGAAGAAAGAAAAAAGCCCAAGCACAACAAGAAAAGCAAAGTGAAAGATAAAGATCATAGTACATCATCGCCATTACTGAAACCCAAGAGAAAAAGCAAGAAGAGTGCCAAAGATAAGGATGATGATGGGTCATAATGGATTTCAGTAACGATTTCTTTTTAATGAAGTGGATAATACATGTGTCAAACATCAATTTTGGCATGCATTCCTGATGAGCAGGCCGAACAAGAAGCTATACAGATTGTCATGTCATGGGCAGAGGGGTTTTTTCTGTTTTTTTTTTCTAAATAGCTGTATCTGTTTTTTCCAACTTGGGGTACATTATGAGTTTAAAGAGGGAGAAATGGTTTTTTTTTTATTATTTTTAGTTAGTATTCAAGAGGGAGAATGGCTGAGGTATTAACTATTAAGATTTGGTATACATGCCTTCGACTTTGTTGAATGTTTAATTTTTGTAACCTCAGAAGTCTGATGATAAATTACTTGGCTATCAATGTGGCACAATTCATGGAGGAATCACTCTGGCTAACTTTGGAAAGCAAAATGTGATAACTCACATTATGGTTATTGAGAATCTAATTTTTTTAAACCCAAAATTTACTCTAGGTGGAGGGATAGCCATGGACTTTATTAATAATTCAAAGAAAAAACTGAGGTTGGAAATAGAAGCCTAACCCCTTTAAGAAGCAACTCATGTCTCATAAATTAAAATATAAAGAAAAACATCATCTGGTTCTCAGTCATGGTTGATAAAGGTCATCATCAAACACGGCCTACTCTTAATAGCCAATTCTGATTTGAAACTGAAGATATATGATCACCAATAGAATCATTGTACCTGTTAGCCTCTTAAATTACAGACCTCTTAAAATTACAGATTCATGGTAGATTGTCCTTGTACATGGGCTCTTCTTTCTCCAACAACTCCCCCTTTCTGCATTCTTTTTGAGTTTCTCTCCCTTTCCATTCCCACCTTTCCCATTAAGTCAAGTTAGCAGATTCTCTCTCTCACTATTTCAACCCAATTACCTGAAAAATTCCTAAAATCTCTCTCCTAAGATATCTCTTCTAACAGGTATCATATTAGCTCACTCTCCAATCAATTTCTAAAATCTCTCTCATCTAAAATATTTTTATCTACTCTATTCTAAGTACTCTCTTTATTTCCATTTATGAACATCTCATAGAGTTTCTTTTGAATCATTGGAGGATAATATAGTTGGTCGGTTTGTTTTTTTGAACTTTAAACAGTCATCAAGGTTATGAAGGAGCCATGCATCGATCTCATGCCTCCACAAATTACAATTGATTTTGTTGTGTAGGCATTCATGGCAGTGGTATATGACTTTTCATAGTCTGGAGGTCGCCTTTAACGATCCAATCCAACTTCTCTGATTACAAGATGCCGGTGATAACAGGGACTAGACCAACTAAAGTGCAGTTTGTTTGGCAGGAATGAATCAATGAATAGAACGACCTGGTTGATGGTTATTTGAATTTTATTAGTCCGTACTATACAAGGAAACATTGGAGAAAATCCGGTAATAATCCCCTTTTTCAATGAACATGCAAAACTTATGAGGCCAAGAACCAGGGTTCTAAGTCGGCTGGTTAACCTAACCTAATTAACTCATTTAGTTTTGATGAGGCACTCCGAAACCGTAGCATGACACCATATAACTTGCTTTACCAAAATGATAGAGATAACCTCGGAATCACGTCGGATGCATCTCGCACACCCTGAAAGTGTTATGTCACTAGGGGTGTCCATGGTTCGATTAACTGAACTATGGGCAATTTTTGCAAACTGAACTGTACCACCGGTTTTTCTATTTCTCCAAACCGAAACCGAATCGGTACCACCGGTTAACTAGTTCACCGGTTTCGGTTTTTGATCGGTTCGGTTCTTTGGTTTTTTATATTTATAATATATATTATATAAATATATGAATAATATTATATTATAAATAATAAATAATATATAATATATTATAAATATTATAAAAAATATATAATATATATAATACATTTATAAATAGATTATTATAAAAATAATATATATATATATATATTTATATATAATATATAGAAAATATGTGACATATATTAAAAAAATATATAAAATATACATATAAATATATATACCAGTCGGTTTGGTTAACTACATTTTCTAGTTCGGTTTTCTCGGTTCGGTTTAGTTTTTTGGTTTTTCATGGACACCCTTATATATCATCACCTCGCTAGGGTCGACCTATAGACACCTTGGCAGGGTCAGGCCGGCCACCTCAGTACCAAGCTAGAGACCTCGGCACGAAGGGCAACCTCCCACCGAGGCCCCATCGACCTAACCAAGGTCCAGGTGGCGACCTGCGTGATGCGGCAGCCAGCCTCCGCATTGTGTGACTCATTGTCTTCGAACCGTTCAGGATCACATTACCTTATTGACAGAGCTAGTTCTCGCGCCACCCGCTTTGGAGGTAGTTGGATAAGCTTATTGCTTTATGCGGAAATCGTCTTCAAGCATGAAAACCTCCGAGCGTGATAGAAAGATAAGTCATGTCTCCCTGAAGATCTCAGACACGTTACGTGAAGCTACGGTTACCTGTGTCTAAGTAAAGGCGCCCTATTGATTAAAAAGGTACGCGCAATTTAACTCTTTGAATCCTCTAGCTATCTTGCATTTTAGCATTCTTAACAATCTTCGCTGACTTAAGCATCAGAGTGTCCACCTAGAGTAAAGCATCCCAGGTACTCTGATTACTGTTTTCTTGCATCTTGGCCAGCCAACCTCATCAGTCAGATGCCCGAGCCGTCTTCCAATAGGGAGCACGAGATGGCCCACCATCAAGTTTGATATTCCTCTTTTATCTATTAATTTTCTATTACTCCTAATTAAAAGTAATTACAGTTACTATTAACTTATAATAATGAGTATTCTCACTTGCTTTATCATTCTCTTTTTTATTAATAAATTTCATTAACGGTAAACGTCAGCAATAAATTAATAGACCTAATTATATTATCACATCAACTTAATTAATTCAACTAATCAATTGATTTAGTTGAATCAACATGGTTGACATAATCAATCCAATTAACCCATCCTTACCAAACCCAAATAAGCTAATCAATTTAATTAACCTAATTGATCTACTGAAATTATGTAACCAAATTAACTTAATTAATCTAGTTGATTTCAAACTTGAAATACCTCACTATTGACTTATATAAATCTATGGTTTCTTCTATTACTTTATTTTCTGGGGTGAATTTTACAAACATCTTTTTATCCCTTTTACCATCACATTGGATATCATCACACGGAGTCTTCTTGCTTCCACTTTCCATACGTGGATACTTTTTAGTTAGAAGACAACAGTGTCCCTGGATTTTTGATATATACGCTACTCATTTTGATAAATTGTACCATCTTTGGCTATTTTATGTTATCAAAACTATAATAATATATACCATCAACATTGAATAGACCTAAATAACCAAAAGGGACACTTCGGACTTTTCCTAAAGCTGGTGGCCCAAAATAGGTTTTTCTCTGTTCTTTCATTTAGGCTGTGTTTGGTTTCAAGAAAAAAGTAGAGAAAGGTAGGGAAATCTTTACAAACCTTGTATAAGTTTTTCCATTTTTCCCTTCTTTTCTTTACTTTTTTCTTCTAAACCAAATATAATCTTATTGTTTAACTATTTGTCACTACAATCTACTTCCAGATATTGTTATCAGAATAACACCCACCCTGGATCCAGTGCGTTTGAACTTGAGGGATTTTCCCTTCAAATCCATTCAGTTTGCAACATATCAATAAAATTTTACGTCAATCAAACCATGGTTTTTAAAACCAACCCGGAGACCGAACCGGTCAGGGGTCCGGTTACTGGGTTGAATGGTCCGACCATTCGAATTGAACGGTCAGCCCGTTTTGACAAAAAATAAATAAATAAATAAAAAACAGTCAAAATCGTTCGAACGATTAACCGCCCGGGTCAGCGGTTTTCTGACCAAAATCAATGGTTTTTTTGAGAAATCCCGGTTTTGGGGAAAAACGAAACCAGTCCCCTGACCGGTTCCCGGTTTTTCCAGTCCGACCGTCTGGTCTGGTCTGGTTTTGAAAACCATGAATCAAACCTTTAACCAGTTAGTCCTTTAATCATTTTCAAAAAATTGAAAGAAGAGTTTTTCTATTATTTATTTTTTTATTAAAAATCACCATAACAAAATTTAGAAACCCAAAAAAGAAAAAAAAAAGAAAATTTTCTCCTCTTTCTATTGTTCCCAATTGATTAATATCAAGAATAGAAAAGGGGCACGTTTCATATGCAATGTGAATGAAGGGTTTTGAAAATTGCATAAGCCTGTAAGAATTCGAGTTTTGATGACGAGAGTTGTGGAAATGGCGAAAAAGTCAGTGATGGATAGTTTCAATAGGTCTTTCTCATTGTTCGCTTTAGAAAGTGAAATTTTGTGGTTTTTTACTTGTTCAAATTTATTTTATAAAATTAGAGGGATTGAAGAGATGTTACCTGAAAATGAGGGATTGCAAAGATCTGAATTTAAAAATGATAGATTGCAGAGCTCTATGTATTCCTTCATATCTGTTCTATTTGCAACAAAAAAAAAAAGGAAAAAAAAAAAAGATTCTTAGAGTACAGTTCTTTATATCTCATTGCAAGGTTGAAGGCATTGAAGAAATCGAAGAACTCATCGTTAATTGCAGACAGCTTAGTCTATCTCTCTTACATAAGAGAGATCAGATGGTTAAACTTTAAATATTGCTTCATATGCATGGAGATTCTAAGGAGAGAACACATGTTTGCAAGTTATCAAACAGATTGGTGTGGAGAATAAGGATATGTTTTTCAATATTGAGGTCATTAACAAGGGTGATGTTTGCCATCAATGTCGTTTTATGAGAAAATGGCACCATGTAGGCGTCACATCAGAGAAAGCGGTGTTTCAAACGCCCTCTTGTTTGGTACTGTTTTTCTAGAAAAAATGTTGTTTCAGACCACACCTTGAAAATCGGAAAAGTGTGGTCTGGAGTAATGTCAAATTCAATGTTTTTTAAGAAAATGGTGCGTTACTGCAAGCGGTACAATGATGTGGCATCATTTTGGACTTTGGATAATATAGACCAATCCTGAAAATGGTTCTACATCACTGATACCAAATAGAACCAGTACTGTTTTCTCAGAAAACAGCCTATGTAGTAGCACCGGTTCCAAATAAAAAATAAGTACCCACATGCCCAACACCGTTTTTATAGGAAAATGGTGCAGTGTTCCCAGCACTGAAGCCAAACACCTACAAAGATTGTCATTGAAAAGAAATGGGCAGAACTTGCTAGATAAGAGACCGTAAGAGGTTCCGAAATGTATGAACAAAATCAACTTCTTTGGTAAATGGCTACCTTCTTAATAAGAAGAGCTTGCTAGATAAGAGAGATGTCGTCAGAGTTGTAACACAAGGGTTTATTGATTTCTATGATTTTCTTTATTTTATATTTATGGGAAATATCTATGATGCTGTAAAGACATCATATCGGAAAGGCTTTGACCAATCACAATCCCCCGTGAATTTTAGTGAAAAGACACCTGATTAGTTCCTACTTTTATGATGCTGGTAATAACAAAAAGATAGCTTTTAAGGAAAAAGAGTGCTTACGACACCAATGGTTACCCTTCTTTTACTTTTGATGAGTCACAAATTAAGTGGACAGGTGGATGGCCAGCAAAACCATGGAAAAGCAGGGGAAGAACTTGTATAGAACTGATCAAAACCATAGAAATTAACACCTCTCATCTTTACTCTTACTGTATTCCAAAAATCAGAAGATCACAATACCACCATCATCAACAACCTAGTATACATTTTGTGGCATCTCCCCTCCCCTTTAACAGAGTACACCCCAATTTTTCCCTTCACTAATCCATATAAAACAAGGCCGCAAGTACACTTGATGACGGGTGGAGCCAGAAATTTTTTGTGAGTGGGGCCAAAACCTGAAGTGAAATGAGTGAAAGGGGGAATAAGTATGGATGGGCCCATAGAAAGGTCCAACCATTGGGGTGGAGAGTTTGGGAGGGGGGAAATTTACATGGAAAGCTCTATTTCCAAGTGAAGAATTCTGAATCATAGGGGAGAACATGGCTCCCCTGGGTCCCCCCTGGCTCCGCCCCTGCTTGGTGAGTCTCATTAACCAAGAGAAGAGATATGTTATCCAACAATGCACACTTTAAGCTTAGAGTTCAAATCTGCTCCCCACAACATCCCACAGCACATTCCCGCCGTATGTATTGGAAACATCTCATGATGATATACCAGAAATGATCATGATATCATTATCGGAAGATTTTCCCAATGCACTTGTATTGGGAACTAATCAGGATCATGATATCATCTTCTTATCTGAAGCTACGGATGCTCTCACTTGTATTGGAAGCATGGGGAATTTGGTGATAGGAGAGGAGGGAGGAGATGAAAAGAAACCAGAGAGGTTACTACAGAGGAGAGAGCATGGGAAGAGGAAGAGAGGTGGGTTGTTAGTCGAGACTTGAGAGGATAGGAGTTTTAAGTGCGACCCACATGTAAATTTTAGGGTTTTTTTTTTTATTTAAGCAATGCCACATCAGCATGCCTGATTATTTTATTTGAGCAGTTTAAGGGTGAAAATGGCCCTTTTAACTCTTTAGGATCTAAAATGTCCATTTTTGCAAAATTCAAGAGTTGTGAGAGCAAAAAATCCTCCATGAAATAGGATTTTGAATCATCTCTGATTGAAATGAATGGGGCTAAGTACAAAAATGCAGAAATATCATTGCTAAATGAAGCTACTCATCATCTTCAAAGCATGCTTGCAAAGATCACTTGTCTTTCAGGATGTTGACCTTTCAATACTCACATGGTACATGCATGGTTTTCAATGGTGCTAATATCACCAAAGTTGGTCAATGTTCTTGCAAATATTCGATAAAAGAATATATTAATTGAAAAGGTAAGGTATCTAAATCAATTTGTGATTTATTTCTACCTTGAATGTCTATCTATCATTTGGTTAAAGTAACGAAAAATGATGTTGATAAATGAATTTTGTTGCTTCTTACACTCATGACAATCAAGCTCGAGACCCTTCCCCTCAAATTGAGCTTAAACTTTCTTGACAATCAAGATGCAGCGAAAGTTTAAGGCTAGGTCAATTAGGTTCAGCAATTAATCAAGATATTAATACACTTGAATCAATCAAACTACTGAACCAGTAAACCTGCAGCTATCCAAATCTATATTCATCTTGAGATTCAAGCAGTGATTAGCCGCTACTAGAATCTAACTACTGAAATATAAATGCTAATGAGATGTAGACAACAAAACAATAAAAGTAAAGCAGTTAAAGCTCAACAGCTACACTAGCTGACCTTGTATCTTATAAATGAAAAACAAATGAAGACAATCAAAGAACATATTACAAGATATCAAAGATTCTAGTATTGTAGTTATGACTTTGAGAATGTTAGCACAAATAAAAATGAAATGCAAACTTGAGAAGAAAAGAAACATGACAAGGCACAAGGATTTTTAGAGAGGTTCAGCCAATCATACCAATGTCCTCTACCTTGGACTACCATTAAGGACTTTCACTAATCGATTGGATTTCCTGAATGCTAATCGAGCCTTTACAACTAGTAGGACTTCATGGGTGTTTGCAATACTTGGACCAATTGGACTTATACGGGTGCCAACAAGAACCAAATCAATAGGGCTTTTGAGTGTATACAATACCGTGTAGTTAGGCTTAATAGAGGTGCCACCAAGACTTATTTGCTAAAAAAATCTTCACCAATCAAACACACGATTAAGTTACAACAATGACCGCATAATGTCACTACAATATTTGGAAGTATATTAAATAATTTATATGAATATAAAACTGAAAAGAATTTTTTACTTCTGATAATGCTAATAATAATGATATTGCAGTAAATATGCTAAAAAACAAATTAAAACCAAATTTTAATGGAAAATTATTTCATATTAGGCGTGCATGTCACATATTAAATTTATGTGTACAAGGTGCATTAGAATTTATTTCACCCCATATTAATAAAGTTATTAGAATTGTATTATGTATGTTAGAACTTCAGGGGTTAGAAAACAAGAATTTAAAAATTTGTCATGAATACGGAAAAAAATATAAAAGGTTTGTATTTTATGCAAAACATAAGTGGAGTTCAACATATTCTATGTTAGAAAATTATTTATCATATAAAGATGTTTTAACAAGTTATTACGATAAAAAATGTGAAATGATTACATAACTATTGAAGATTGGGAAATTTCAATTTGTATAGAAGAGTTTTTACAACTAATTTATTTTCAAGCGTTTATTATCCTACTTCATGTGTATTACTTAATCAATTATTTATAGTTAATGATATATATATATATATATATTTCAAAATATAGAGATATTCTACAATTTCAAGAAATTGTTGAAATTATAGAAACAAAATTTTAAAAATATTGAAAAATATTTTTCCTTTATATTGTTTGCCTGCAAATATTGACCCTAGAATTAAAAAATTAGGTTTAGGCCATGTTTGGGAGTGCTTATTTGGGCCATTAAACACTTATTGGTATTTGGGAAATAAGCCTGAAATAAGTGCTTATTTTAAAAATAAGGGCGTATTTTTTAAACCCAAATTTCTAGCTTTTTTAAGTGCTTATGCAATAAGCACTTATTGAACTTTTTTCTTCCAAAATTATCCCTAGTTGAATTTTAAAATACCACTTATAAAATTATCTCTAGTTGATTTTTAGAAAAGTACTTTTATGAAAGCACTTTTACAAAATCACTTTTATAAAAGTACTTTCATAAAAGTGTTTTTATAAAAGTAATTTAATAAAAGTGCTTTCAAAGGGTATATTTTGAAAATTTGAAAGAAAATGAAGGACAAAGTAGTCACAAATGCTTATTTAAGTGCTTATTAGAGAAAAAGACTATCAGACACCCAATATAAAATAACTTCTTATTTTAAAAAATACGTACTTGAAAAAGTTGGGTGCGAAATGCAAATAAGTGCTTATTCAAATAAGCACTTATTTTTAACTTAAACACTCCCAAACATGACCTTAGATGTTTTACTTGATCTTGAAATATAATAATTCAAATTGGAACAACAAAGATAAAGTTAAATACTTTATTATTTAAAATGTATGAAATTCAAAGTTTAGTAGAAAATAAGAGAAGTTCAACAACCACACCACATGAAAGTAGTAGTGGAAATAAAATTTAGTCAATAATAAGTAGAGAAGGGCAACAATGGATTGCCACCTCTTCATCAAATTCATCATTCGATGGACTTTAATTTTATTTGCAACAATTAAATATGTCTGATTATCCAGCTTATAGGAAACATAGAAGTTGATATTTTAGCTTGGTAGAGAAAAAATTGAAAAAAAAAAAATTCAATTCTTTTCGCCATGGCACACGATATGCTAACCTCTTTGGTGTTAACAGTTGCATTAGAGTTTTGTTTTTCTGCAAGTAATCGGGTTTTAGACTAGAAGAGGAACAACTTGAGTGATCAATCTTTGGAGATGTGCATCTATTTGAATGATTGACTAGATGTGAAAGACAAATTACAAGACAAAGGAAGACATAGCACCTCAACTAATAGTTCACCAAATGCAAATGATGGAGGTGAGAACTTGAAAAAGTGTTTTTTTTTTTTTTTTGTTTTGAAAGGAACTTGAAAAATTACAAGAATATAACAAGTATTGGTTTCAACAATTTTATTTGAGAATTATTTGCAATGTATTCAAATAATCCAATCCCATTGTAATTTTTATTTTCAATTTTATCATTTTATTAATTCAATTCTATTGTATTATTATTTTTCAATGTATTTTTATCTTTCTTTTGTACACATTAAGTTTGAAATGAAATAAAGTTTTCACAATTTTTTCCAACTTATTGTCGATTATTCATGTTAATTTTTTGCTCTTATATGTCTAAATTTTATTAATTTAAAAAAAAGAAAAAAACAAAAAAGTCTGGCCCAGGTCCGATTCTTCAGGCCTGACACAGCCCGGCCCGGCCAGGCTGGGTACCAGGCCACGGGCTGTGCTGGGCCTGACCTGCGAGGGGGGATCGTGCCGCACAGGCACGGCTCACCAAGGCCCAGCCCGGCACGCTCTACAATCCATCACATTACAGGTTACTCCGTTACTGGCTACCACTTACCAGATTTGAATATTTTATTTTGATTTTGATACAGTACATCGACATTAATCTTGTATCGTAGTTCTGCCGTGCAGATTCCAATTCTATCATCCTATTCAACGGTTCTCGTCTCCATTCAACATCAAGCGTTTTGAATCACTGCCCACTCTCTGCCCTTTTGGCTTTTGCCATTTACCTTTACCGAACACAAGCTTTTTAGTTTTCACATTCTCATTGTCTTTCCGTCTTTCACTTTCTTCGCGGCATTACAATTACAATTTTCATAAAAACTTTAAAAAGCAAGCCAGCTGTGGAGGGGCTGTTATGTTAGGGTTTTAAGCGAAGCAGAGCTTCCTCTCTAGGGTTTAAGGGACGCTTCCATTGAATTGAAACCCAATCAAAGAAAGCCGAAAGAATATTCTCTGTTCGGATATGGCCTTCTGGGGTTGGTTTCTACTCCATCTTTCATGCAATTTATTTTCTTGATAAATTTCTTTCGTTTTATTACTGATATTTTCGCTAATTAATTTTATTATTTCATTCTAGTTTTTTAATTCTTTTGGACACTGCAAAATGAAACCATCTGTTGTTTTTTTTTTCCTACTTTTGGCTCTCGTACCTTGGTGATTCTAGGGTTTGTGCATCTTCATTTTCCATTTTTCAGGTGTCGAAATAAAGCCGGGAAAGCCTTATACACATCAATATGATGATATGCGAGGAAGACTTCACATTTCTCAGGTTTGTTGTTGATACCCAATCCATCTTCTGATATATATGTTCATCATCATTATCATATTTTCCTTTTATCTATCGGCTTAAGATCATTTGGATTCTCGTCATCTGTGTATTGGATTCGGAGTTATTTTGTCTCCTTAACGTGGTATACATGTTGTAATGTGGCTTAGGCAACGTTGGGTACCGGGTCATCTACAGACAAAAGCTTACTTCAATGCAATGTAGGGGACAAGAGTCCCGTACTTCTGTGCTCTCTGTTGCCCGACAAGACTGAATCGTGCCCATTAAGTCTCGAATTCGAGGAGGATGACGATGTCGTTTTCTCGGTTGTTGGCCCTCGAAGCATTCATCTCACCGGTTTCTATCTGGGGGTCGTCCAGGATTTTGGCGGAGATGATGATGAAACGTATCCTTTTGAACTTCCGGTGGTGATCTCTTTCTTGCATTTTTCCATTTTTCTCATGCATGTACCATTTATACGGTTCTTTTACTGGTTATCTCATTATGTGTTCTTTTTCTTGTATGTATTTTTGGGGATTTGTTAGTTCATCACTTTCTATTGCTTTCCTATACGAATTGCTTTATTGATATAGAGATTCTTATGGAGAAGATATTGGTGAGACTGAGACAGAGGAATCCACTGATTACGATACTGAAGATGAGGATGAATATGATGAGGATTTCATTGATGACGGTGATGTGGAAGTCTTTCCACCTTCGCCTGTTCCCAATAGTGGAGGTATTTTGGAGGCATTTTCATTATAGCATGATATTATACTGGTGCCACTGTATATGATGCTAAAATCAACTAGATTTCATGAACCCTTATTTTTGTGGATAGAAGGTAGTTGTAATATTAGAATTGGCGAAAGCCATAAGTAATATTAACAAGTATGGCTATAGTGTATTTCTTTGAGCTGTACATAAGCTGTTATATCAAAAAGGTGCTTAAAGATGATTTAATCCCGGTTGAATCTAAAATGGTTGAACTGAGAACTTTGAATGCCACTAAGATGGTCCACAACATCTGAGTCTGAATGTTTTGCTTACTACCACTTCCTTTGCAGTTCTTTTTCAGGTGTATTGCTGTTGTTTTATTATCATTGTTATTGGTAGGGGTGCTCATTGTTCGGTTAACCAAACCATGAGCTATTTTTGAAACTGAACTGGCACCACCAGTTTTTGAAAAACTGGGAACTGAAAGTGAACAAAAACCAATCGGTTAACTGGTTGATTGGTTTGGTTCCCTTGGCTCGTTTTTATTTTTATTTTTGTTCAGCACCTCTAGTTATTGGTAATGGTATTGTTGTTCTTCTTGAACTGATACTCTGATTTGCTATTTATTGAATTGATGTTAGATCGTTTCTGCATATTGACATGTAATGTGTAGACATTTTGTTCAATTCAAGAAGTTGTGTCTGAAATCCTGTTGTTTTTTTTATTGCAGTTGTTATTGAGGAGATATTGGATGATGAGAAGCCTACAGTTGCAAATGGAAGCCAGAAACATCCTAAGAAGAAATCCCAGTTGAGGGACTCTGACAATGATGACAGCTCTCAGCGGCAAATTGTTGTCAAAGGTAGTACCAGTGCCCAATTTTTAGAAAGTGAAGATGAAGATGGCTTCCCTATTTCCCCCCGATCCAAAATCAAATCCAGTGTTAACAATCTAGAAGCAGAAAAGGAGAAGACAGACAAGAAATCGGACAAGGAAAGCAAGAAGAAGAAGACACAAGATGATGGCAACCAAGTTACAGGTTTAAAAAGGAAGAGTAGTACTGCAGTTGAGGATGATGAGCCAGTAAGGTGAGAATTTATGTGTAAACCTTTTTTCTGCCATGTTTTGTTTGGATGAGTACTGGGTGAAAAGTTCATGCAGTCTACTATACAGCCAAGTAGATCTGTTTCTTTTTCTTAAAAAATTACCTAAATTCTAGACTACTCTTAATTGCCCTGCAATATATGCTAAATCATTTTTTTTTTGATAAATAACAATATTCTAATTCTTTTCATTATACATTCCTATACTAGATTATTTTAGGGAGTAGCTCCATGCAGCATGCACCAAGTGGATTTGTGTATTGGTAGTTTGGCATAAATGAAGAGCCAATTTACACAATGAATGCCATCTTCCTATAAAAATTATTTGTCTTTTGAGAAAGGCTGCACTTGGAGACGATGCAAATATGTGTGAATGCAAATATGTAGACTGTAAAGCGGTTTATATAAATTGCAAAGTTGGGTTAGTTTTGCATTGACAAATTTACCTTCTTACCAGTTACTAAACAGACTTTTAGCTGTAATGGCTGCAAACATGAATTCCAATAAAGCATATGCTTTTTTTTTTTTTTTATCAAAAGCCCACTTGAATGCAAATTTATTTCTTTTTTATTCATGTACTTCTACATCTTATTATCAATGTAAATATGCATTAGTCTGTCATTTGTCAATGCAAAAACGTAATGTTGCCAAACACAGGCAAAAGTGAACCAAAGTGCAAATTTACCCTGAACCGGGATTTACACTCCATTTGCATCGTTTCCAAACGCAGTCAAAAGGTAAAGTATGTCATTCCCCAAAAAGTGATAAGCATGCACAAGCAGGGACCTGTGTACAGTATGGGAGTATACCTAAATAGGGATGCTTTAAAAATGACATTATATTGGGATCCTGCCCCACCATTTTTCCTATAAAACTACGAAGTTAGTAAAACAAAATTTTGGAACTTTTTTTGTGTTGCTGAGTCAGACTCAGTCTCCTGGACATGCATATGATTCTGATTCCCATTCCTGTGTAATACCGTCCTTGAACTATTATTAATTTGGAAAAGTCCAGAAATAGTCAGCAATTTGAACTGTTCAGTTCCTAGTGTTGAACTTTTCAAACCATTCAATTATTGGAAGAACTGAATGATTGAGACTATGGTTCAATATTTGTCAGTTTTGTTTGTTTTTTGGATGTGGAACCTTTTTCTATGTGAGGCAAACAGAAGAATCCTTGGTGGATCATGGGGCTGCTTTTCTAGTGCTTTAAATCTTGCTTTGCCACTCTTTCAACATTTAGGGAGGGAATGTGTCAACTGTCAACTGCAGCTTAAACAATTATTCTATTCAGATGTAGTTTTAATTTATGGATTTACTGCTTTCCTATTCACATAAGCACTATAGTTAAAGCATTGCCTAGGTGTTGACTAGGCTTCCTTCTCTCTCTGTCTCTGTCTCTGTCTCTGTCTCTGTCTCTGTCTCTGTCTCTGTCTCTGTCTCTGTCTCTGTCTCTGTCTCTGTCTCTGTCTCTGTCTCTGTTTCTGTCTCTGTCTCTGTCTCTGTCTGTCTCTCTCTCGCTCTCTCGCTCTCTCGCTCTCGCTCTTGCTCGCTTGCTTTTATGCCGGATCAAGACACTGTTGTGTGTTGACCCGAAGGATGTTTATCTCTCCTTTTGGTATGGTATTATGTGTGTGATAAGAGTACTAATTCAGTGGTCTGTATAGGCAGCTTGAATATGTTTTATTTAGTTTTGAAGTGTCTTATATGCTTTTTGCACAAGCAGGGGAGCTGGTCAGCCATGTGATGCTTCTGTACCCTCTTCTGTAGTTGGCTTGGAAAAGGGAGTGGGGACCAAGAAGAAAAAGAAAGAGCAGGCTAAGGAAGGGAGAGCCCTTGAAGCTGCAAATGATGATAAGAATGATGAGCCCAAGGGAGATAAAATGCAATCTGAGCAGAAACATCAAGACAAGTAAGAAAATTTTATCTAATTTGTTTTTAAAGGTTTTGAATGATAATTTCCACTAGTGCATGGTTTTCATTTTGACTTTGTTGCTTGAGTTATAATAGACTATGCATATTTGTATTGGTTTATTATATGTAATTGCATGCTTAGTGGATTGCAGCCACTGGCAAACAGGTATTCTGATTAGCAGTCCTTGCCTTTAACACCTAGCCCAGTCCAGTTTCATAATGAGCTTGAGGTTGGCCATGTGTAGTTTTGATTCCACTTGCCTTGTGTCACGGTCACCTAATGTAAGGTTCTATGTTTCATGGAAACTTAATGTGGGTTCCATGCCTGTGTTATGATAACACTTGATCAACTTTTCTCAAGCCATGTTTTTGTGTCTATGTAACATGGCTAAAGTTCATTAGTGATACTGCAATTTGTTCAGCCTGACGTCTTCTGTGTCACAAAGCTCATGATTTGAATCTTGTGGCCCAGTGTTATGTATAGGAGGAATTTGGGAATAAACTGTGTATATAATTGTATTGGATCAACCAATTACGAACACACTTGATCAACTTCTCCTCTCTTTATTAGCTATTGGGCTAAACCTAATCTATTACTTGTCTGTAATTTTACAATTGTTCTTGCGCTAATATGTGCCATATTACCATGCTACTAATATCACATGGTAAAATAGTTATAAGTGAGACGAAAATTCATGTCCTTTTATCCATAACCCATACACATTGTATGCGGTGATACTTGGATCTACCATTCTGTTTTAAACATTTTCCTTTTATCAATGGCACAGATATACATAGTTACATTTAGGTGATGTTATTGGTAATGTTAATTTTTTTAAAGTTATTTTATGTAGTGATTGTAGCAGTATCTAATCTGTAATCTGTACTTGCAACGGAATTTTGCTGTATGTTATGAATAGGAGTCTTGACATGGATGAGGAAAATACTGCTGCTGCTGTTGCTGCTGAAACACCCTCTGAAGAAAAGAAAGGGAGGAAGAAAAAGAAGAATAAGAAGAATAAGAAGAGTAAGACTCAAGAGACTGCTGTGGATGTGGTTAAAGAGGAACCTTCTTTGGCAGTGGATGAAAAGAAGGCATCCATTATGGGGTCTGAGGGCAAGAAAGTGGAAGCAAAGGCATCGCATGTGAGGACCTTCTCTAATGGATTGGTTATTGAGGAGCTAGCAATGGGCAAACCAGATGGCAAAAGAGCTTCTCCTGGAAACAAGGTTCTTGTTCCGTGTGTACAAACATGCTAATGGGCTATTTTTGCATAGAAGCCATGAATTCTAGTTTAGATGACACCAAGGAAAATGATTGTTTAAATTTGAGCCTATCATTACATTCTCTGCGTGCATCTGTAGTGCTTTGGCTTTGATCATCTAGCAACATGTTAGTTGAGATATTCACATGAACAACTATTTCTTGGTTTTAGGTTGCTGTCCACTACATTGGCAAGTTAAAGAAGAATGGAAAAATATTCGACTCTAATATTGGTAGAGCACCTTTCAGATTTCGACTAGGTACTGCCACTTAAAACACTGGGATCATCTGGCATGTGTATGATGGTTTATTTTCCTTTAAGTAACCGTTTATATTGCTTTCTACAGGTGTGGGCCAAGTTATAAAAGGATGGGATGTTGGCCTTAATGGTAGTTATTTTGTGAACCACAAGCTTTATTTGAATGAATTTCATTTTGTTTATTTCAACATTTCTTGAAGTTGTTTTGACACATCTTACAAAACAGAAAGATGTTTTGACATATAACTTGGGTGCTTTCAGGCATGCGCATTGGTGACAAAAGAAGGCTAACAATCCCACCATCGATGGGGTATGTAATTGCCTCCATTTCCTGTCTCTGTAATTTGGTTACCTTGTAATAGTGTAGTGACTAGTGAACTACTTAAGGTTTACTCAGATCCCTTGTAATATGTGCATGTTGTATCATGCTTGTAATGCAGGTATGGTTCACAAGGCGCTGGTGGGCAAATACCACCTAACTCGTGGCTGGTTTTTGATGTTGAGTTGGTTGATGTCCGAGGTTGAGTTGATGTCTTCGCAGAGAGAAACAATGCCAATTTTTTGTTTTCCGCCCACATGTTTTACTCTGTTGACCCGCCTTGTAAGCAGTTTTGATCCTTCTGGGCAAGACCAAAATATCTTCTTAATAGATGGAAAAGCAAATTCTCAGTAGAAGGCTCCGTTTTCTTCTGAAGTCAGGTGTCCTTTTGTTTTCTAATACCGATTACCGAGCACTTGCTTAGTATTCTTGTCTGCGCTGCAACAAATTAAAAATACATTCTTTTTAGTACATTTACCTAAGCATTTGATGCTTGAGGCCATTTGGATACGTGTTAAGTCTCTCGGCCATGCATGTTGCAGCTTGAGCCTCTATCTAGATCACCGAGATCTGTGGCCTTGTTTAATCTACATTTTAAAGTCAAATTTTTTTCTAAATCATAGAGCAGCAGATGTATTTATGACGCTCCTACAATGTAAACTGAACCGAAAAATCTGGTTGACTAAGCTTATAACCCCTGATCTCCGTCATGTGCGACTGCTACCGGTTGACTAAACTACTAATTTTTTCTATTTTAAAAGAAAAGAATAAATTGGATGACTAGCTTATTTGGTGGTTGCTGTTTCTGACATGATCCATCCTAGTTATTTCAGTTGTTCATGAAGGAAACGCATTGCCATTCCATTTCCTTAATAAACAGAGAGCTAATGATGTATATTTTAAAGTGATGTTTAATGCATTTTCAGTTAAATTGTTGGCTCAGCTAGCTACATACCTTTGTTTTTTTGTCCAATAGGTTCCTAATCAAATAGAAGTGGCTTTACTCAAGAAAAAGCCAACAATGTCAATTGGGGATACAATGGAGGAAGATGGAATGAGAGATGTTGATTGTGAAGCATTTGAATCCGAATCAGAATCGGAGAGGAGTATGTGAGGTTGATTAAGCCTTCTAATAAGTCCATATACAATAGGGTTGGCCTCCTACATTTATCAAAGAAAGGGACGGTCTCCTAAAGAAGGTAGGTGATATAAGTTGCCTTGGTAATGCAGAATGGGTCCAGAAGCCATCTATTGATATTGGTCAAGAGCAAGAGGTTGATGTCAATGACAACTTGGAACGTGAGCTCTCTTTCTACACCCAAGCAAAGGAAGGAACTACGCAGGTCTTCGAGATATTGCAATTGATGAGGCTCCCTTTTCTCAGTTTTCCTGACTATTATGCAGAGATGGTGAAGACAGATGCTAACATGGAGAAGGAAAAGATCAAGCTCTTGGAGGAGAAGAAAAAGATTGAGGCTGAAGAAAGAAGAGCTAGAGAAATAAAAAACAATACAGAACAACACATAGTGAGTGTGGTCAGCCATAGTAATTGGCAACTTAGCATAAGGACATATTAAAATCTAGGAACTTCAATTGCCAAATCGAATTGTTGTTAGCAAGGTAATCATATATCCTAAGTGAAAGTTAAGCTTGGGATGTGGCATTTTATTGAAAAACATGAGAAAATGAATTGAAGTAGAGAATGTGAAAAAATGGCAATCTTCTCTAAAAATTTCAAAGAAAAGAAAAATCATTCATTTTTCTAAGACCTAATACAACCAATTGAAATAGAGAAGGCAAGGCATTTTATCAGAGAGAGCGAAAAGGACAAGAAAGCTTACCATAATTTATGGGCAAATTGAAGAAGCAAATCCCCTGTTATAAACAAACAACCCTTCTCTGCATTCTCCTGTTGTTAACTAATTAACCATCATGAACACATCTCCTGTTGTAAACTGGCACATCTATCATCCAGTGAAATGCATGCTTTCAAAGCCATTTAAACAATATATTTTATTTGCTTCCATTTAGTTGGGATTATGGCCATGTTGAGTTGAACACTTGATTTGTTTCCATTTGCTAGTTTTATACAGATTGAATTCCAAAACTTCTTCATTTAGTTGATTTCTAATTGTTACTTGTTTATTTTTTTCTCAATAGTGTTTTTATCTATTTTTGAGACATCCAATAACTCAATGTCTGCTAAAATCCATCCAACCCCAAAAGAAAATATCTATTGATCTCGAATTAGAAATGACAGCATATGTCCCTTGCTCCCTTATCCAAACTCCAAAGGTGAAACCAGGAGAATAAAAATAAAGCCTCAGGCCCAAGAATCCCACAAATAGAGCCTGATTAGGCAAATTCTCAATTGACTGCTAGTGTTGTCAATGGATTGGGTCCGGTCTTGGTCGGGGTAGATCCAGTCCCGTAATAGCAAACCAGAACCAACTCGATCATTAATTGGGACTATTGGGAATAACCTGACAATACCTGATTATAACCTACAACTGTAGTTTTTACCCATAATTTGCTAATCTCTGTGGTCTAGTCTTTCTATTCTGGTATTACATAGTTCACATTACAAGGGATTCAGGGATGGGGACAGATCGAGCAGGGTGCAGCTGAGACCCACTGGCCATACCACAGAGAGCCTACAGTGGTCTAGTCATGTACATTCTTATAACTAAATCAGGTTGAATTTTAACTGCATTAACTTCTTTTAGTATTTTCAAACTACAAGAATATGCAGGTGAAGTGCCATTTCATGTGCTTTGTCTCCCATATTAGTATAAGTTTGGCATTTTATAGTGGTTAGCACAACCTTAGAAATCATTTTATAGTGAGCAGAAACTCTAGTAGATAGCAATACAGAGAAGGAAAGGAAATTACAAAGAGAAGGGAAGGGTTTTGTGAGAGAATGGGGAGAAACTTGAGAGGTTTCCACCATTGCAAATGAATTTGTGTTGGAAACAAACTAGACCTAAAGATTACGTTGAATGAAGTAAASAGAAGTATGGATGGAAAATGGGGACTAAATTAGGAAACTGGATATTAGAAACTTCCTAAATCCAACGTATAACTGAAATTAGGAAACTGAATTTGAATATGAATACAAGTAGCATGAAGCTTGTCTATTTAATCACTAGATCTTCATAAGGAAATAAGTGTTCTAACTGTCTCAGCGAAAGAAAGAAACTTCAGCTACTGATTGAGTGTATCTAATTCTATGGTGAAGGAAAGGAAAGGAAATTACAAAGAGAAGGGAAGGGTTTTGTGAGAGAACGGGGAGAAACTTGAGAGGTTTTTAATTCCATTGCAAATGAATTTGTATTGGAAGCAAACTAGGCCTAAAGGTTATGTTGAGTGAAGTGAACGGAAGGATGAATGGAAAATCAGGACCAACTTAGGAAAGTGAATACTAGAAACTTTCTAAATCAAAAGTCTAAGTGAAATTAGGAAACCRAGATTGAATATAAATAAACTGTGTTCTAACTATCTGAGCAAGAAACACTACTACTTGAGCTACTGATTCATTCTCAGCGTCTCTAATTGTATAATGAAGTATCAAGAAAACAAGGCCAGGGATTCGACGATGGCGCTAATGGCTGATTCTTTGACTGTACCCAAGGAATGGCTTTCCCTTCAGTTGGATCTTACTCCTATCAAATTTCACAAGCAAAAGAAGTCACCTTCTCCGGTTTCTTTGCCGAGGGGAGATCAAAGTGAGTTCCGGGTCTGAAAGGATGAATCCACGCCCCAACCGCCCTGAAAGAGGAGATCAAAGTGAGTTCCGCTTCTGAAAGGATGAATCCACGCCCCAACCGCCCTGAAAGAGGAGATCAAAGTGAGTTCCGGGTCGACCCTGCTGCAATTGAAAGGATGAACCGCTAATACCACGATCAGCCCCGAGGATTAAACGAAAATGATGATCACTTCGGTATATCGACAGAATTGAAGCTGCACAAAGACCCCTGGGTATTAAAGAAGAAGCTGACGATAAGCGACATAGACAACCTTTTTCGACTTATGCTGAAGAAGGTGTTAGTTCAAGTTCACGTACTCCCATTCATGGAAGAAGAGCAGGTGGAGGAGATGAATAACGAGGCGGGCGCGCGGGTAGAAATAAAGGATTTGGATACAGGTTTGGATCACGAGTTGACGTTGAGGATGTGGACTGGCAGCAGGTGTTACGTTTTGAATGACAACTGGAGAGAGAGCTTCGTGAGGAGAAGGAAGCTAAACGCAGGTGACGAGATATGGATGTATTGGGACCGTTACAACCTCTGCTTCTTCTTCACCGTTCGTGGAAGACTACTCAATTTTTCTGGCAATGGAAATTCATCTCTTTAATATAATTTAATTAAAACTGTATACGCTAATAGAATTGAATTTGATTTTTTTTTCTCTTGTTCATGATCATTTTTGTAAATTTGCCCTCTTTTACAGAGTTGGACTTAAGTGTAAGTATTAAATTGTTATGGGCCCGTGCGTAGGATCTCGTCACGGGTTGGTTCACCGGTAGAGACTCCTGTCTTCCCTTGCCCTTGCCCTTGCGTACAGACCCTATTGTGGCAATCGCGTGGGTGATTTGTCCAAGAGATCACCCGAACTCTCC